CCCCAAAACCCCAAAACCCCAAAACCCCGGGGAAGGATAAATAAATGGAATTGAGAAATTTTAGTTGGAGTAGTTTTTTTAATAATTATCATCATCTATTAACTCGCTGTATTCTTCTTGGTCGATAAATAAGCTGATTTTATCTAAGCCTAGATCTCCGATAATCTTCTTTCCTTCTTCAATATATAAGTCATCTTCACGAGCAATTAGACTGATTTCTCTATTCTTAATGCTCTTAACTTTTGCTAGTCCCGTCATTATGTTATTGAATCTCTTATAATGGCCTTCTATCCATGCGCTTCTTTCGTCTACTCCAGTCCCACTAAAATCAAGTGTTTGAAAGGTAGCTGCTTGCAATCTTTTTGAAAAATTACATTCTTTGTCAGTCTCAATTGTACATTCGTGAAACTGGATTGTGTTTGTATGCTGAGCAGCAACTAGTAAATCTTCGAAATCCTTCTGGCTTAAAGTAAAAGAGCTCATCAAAATTTCATTATTAATCAAAGGTAGAACTTTAGCAACAGAAGCCTTGTATTGAGTCAGTGGAGATAAAGAGTACATGCAGATACTAAACTTTTGAATGCTTTCACGAATCGAGTTTGAAAGAAAACCATTTAGAATTCATAGAGCCTGAGAGTCTTTGAGCATATCTGAGAAGTAAAAGTTAAGCTCATTTAAAGGAGGCATGATATCATTGCTAAGCTGCTCAAGCAATTGCCCATATCTTTTATCAGAAAAATAAAAACCAAGTCTTCCTTCTTTCTTAATCTCCTGTTGTTTTTCCTGAACAAATTTAAGGATATCTGATGAAACTGTGTCTTTGTGTGAGTTTTCTATATGAATCATGCAAACAAATTTGGAATGAAGTGTTATATTAAAACTATCCACTAAAAATATACTAACAGTACGAATTGATATTGCTAGTTTTAAACACATAAGAGCTTTAATAGTCGAACTTCAATGCATTAATGGAGATAAAGAAAGTTTTTATTGAAAATAGATCGTAAATTGATGTTCCAGGAAGGCTTTTTATTCATTATAATTAACGAGAGCTCAAAAAACTATCAGCTCTGGTAAGGATCCAACTCAGGAAGAGTATTATTTGAATGACACTTCCGATTTAATTTGTAACTTAGACTACCAAAATGTTTGTACCTAGAAGATATGCGAAAATCAATTTGTACATGAGTTATCAAGAAATCATAAATTTAAATTTTATCTCTAGTCGTAAAATTTATATTTAACTTCTTTCAACATATTTTCATAAAATAGTGTCCAACAATGAAGAGAATTTCTCACCCAGAATACTGACTTAAGCCATAAATTTCGGTAATTGGCTAATAGATATTTATCTGAAAGCGACTAAATTATTTCGTAAAATGATTGATCTAATAAAGTAAAAATCTTCAATTACATATTTAGATATCTCGAAAGAAATGCAGCTACCAGAATTATACCTTTGAAGTCTTGTTTTTTATTTTCTTCCTTCTTAGCTATGATTCTTTCGTCATTTAATAGCTCAATTTCATTGCGTTGCTCTACCTGAACCTTTCTAGCTTGTTTATTTTCTATTGTGAGACGCTCAATTTCTTTTTCATAAGTCAACTTTTCTTTGTTTAATTTGTCTAACAACTCCTTTTGGGTTAGAATCTTCTTATTTCTTTTTTTCAGTTTTAGCCTTCTGCTTCTCAATAAGTTCGCTCTTCTCCTTAACTTGAGCCTTTTGCTTCTTAATAATTTCATTCTTTTGCTGAAGATCTTCCTTAATCTTAGTAAGTTCTATTTCCCTGAACATACTAGAGTTATTCTGTTGGGCAATCTTTGTCTTTTGTTCTTTAATCAAATTTTCTTGGCCATTACATTGCTTCCTGGTCTGTTCAAATTTTTTGGAGAGTCTTCCATATTCTGAGTTAGCTATATTATCTCTGAGCTTCATCATTTGTCTATTAACCCAAACCTTGGATGCACTGTACATCTTCCTGGTGCCGTGCTTGGCATCTCGGAATTCTCGGCATGTTTGTTCCTTACAATATTCTTTCCATAATTGTGAATCGAATAGAGTGTGAAGGAGTACCCGAGATTCGATGAGAAGGTAAGGCAAACTTTCCCAGCTATTTGTAGACTTTGCAGATGCTAAGTCACCTGTAAAGATATTGTTATTTAGGTTTATGGAAATAAAAACCAGTTGAGGAAAAAGAGAGCAATTTTTGTAAGGAGTTTATTGGAAGAATTTTTGGAATAAAGCTCAGGGTTTTACACTCAAAGATGACAGAGGAGCTATGAGGTATTAGGTAACGGCTTCATCGTATTTCTAAGAGCTAAGTGTTTAATTTAGGTGAGATCATGCCAAAAAGAAGAAATAAGTGCAGTATTAATATTAAAAATTGCATACTAATGTAAAGATCTTTGAAGCACAAGAGTTGAATAAAAACATGACCTTGAAGGAAAGAACTTACAGTTGAGCTGGCGATGTCTATCCTTGTATTCATCCAAATCAGGAAGCATTTTTCTCCATAATTTTTCGAGCTTATGCCATTCCTTGAAATGCTCAATTTTGATCAGGTTGTATTCCACTAAATAAAAATTTATCGTTAAAATTTTTAACGGCTCTTTAGCTTCCAACAAAGTTGTAAAGCTAGAGAAAATTTGTTGATCCAAGGAAATTTAAAATCGTATAGTTGAGCCACAAAAATATATCAAATTTAATAAGTCTAGCTCAAAGAGTGAAATTAGACTCCCATATACAATAAATTAGCTTGTTAGTATCTTACCTGAATCCAAACAATGGAGAATATCATCAGGCTTCGGAATCTGAACAAACTGTTCTCCTGGATATCTCGAATTCAAACAATTGGCACACACAAACAAATCCTCCATAAAAACATTATCCTGTGTACTCTTCACCAAATACTCAATTCCTCCTCAATCCCCTGCATATCCACACTTAGGCACTTTCATCTTTATCCTTTCTCAATTAATTATCTCTCACCCGGGGTTTTGGGGTTTTGGGGTTTTGGGG